ACATAAGAAGCTGGGCTGCCAACCCAAAGGCAGGTGGTCTGAATTCACCAGTTGCTGTACAAGAGAAAGATGGGCAATCTCCTGTGTGATTTATAGCTTCCAAAACCTGATGAAGGATCAGCTCTAAATGGATATTTCAAAAAAAGGTGAACACTCTAGGTTTCTGTGTACGCAAATGGAATGACAGGAAGAAATAAAATAAGCTGAAAGATAGATAAAGAATCACTGTACCTAAAATTATTGGTGTCAACCATTTCAGGAGGTAGCATATGATAAATAGTAACTGGTGAATTTTAATCTGAGGCACTCAGGCCTGGTTTTAGTCAAACTTTCTTCTAAGTGGTATAGCACTGGTCTGTCCATTTGCTGTACAGAGGTAACCTGTGGTCGCTGTGATGCTAAACACCGTGACACGGATGTGTCAAATGCGGTAATGGTTACCCATGGTGGACAGTGTTTGGTGGAGCTCCCCAATTAAAATAAGCTTGGAAGCAGGAGTGGCATCCGCTTCGGAAATAGCTTGCCTCCGGAAACTCTATGAATGTGGAGAAATTATGAAAGTTATACAAGCATTTGTTTCTTTCATTCATAGGGTCGCTATGAGTTGTCTATGACTTGATGACACTTAACAACAACAATAATGAAAGAAATTTAAGCTTCACTGAAGCACTGGTGAAAAACAACAAGGCTAGTGAAAAACACCAGTTCAGATGCTTCAACTGGCAATTGCTTTGCCAGAAGCCTCTGTGAAGAAATATGGAAGATAGCTACTTAATCAACCAAATGAAGAGAACTCTACCTATGGTCATCCCAAAGATGGGCCCCCAAATAGAATACAAAAATTATCAAATAAAATCAGTATCACATGCTAGCAAAACTGTAATTGTGAAATGTTTGCAACTATATAACAACAGAGAGCTGTCAGTTTACACTAATCTCAGAAGAAGATATAAAATGAGGGATACTGTTGTGGACAAACAGATCTCACCTAAGAGCAGAGAATACCAGAGATGTTTACTTGTTTATATTGATCACAAGAAGAAATCTGATAGTGTGCAATATAATTTATTAATAAATTCTAAAAAAAAAAACCCTGGGAATTTCAGAACCCATTATTGCAATTGTACAGAACCCATATATGAATTAAGAGTGAATCATCCTGAAAGAAATAGAGAATACAGCATGGCACAAAATAGGAAAAAAGTGTACATGTTTTTATCCTTTACATTATTTGATGTGTATGCAGAACAAAAAAAAAAATCTAAGAAGCTAGAATATATGAAGAATGTGACCTCAGACTAGAGGAAAATTTTTTAATTTAGTAATGCAGATAATACAACTTTGCTTGCTGAAAAATGAAAAAAAAAATCAGAAGCACTCACTAATAAAGGACAAAAAAATAGAGCCTTTAGTTTAGATTTTGTCTAAAATTTTTAGAACAAACCTCTCACACTTGGATTGATAAAGAAGCACCAAGATAAATGGAGAATAAATTGTAGTTATCAAGAATTTCAATATTTGAATCAACAATCAATATCTGTGGAATCAGCAGCAGTCAAATCAAACACTGTGTTACACTGGATACTACATCTGCAAAAGACAAGTTTTAAAACACAAAAATGCTACCTTGAGAGCTAAGGTACATCTGACTCAAGCCATGGACTTTTCAATAGTTTCGTATGTATGCAAAAGTTGTATAATGAAAAAGAGAAAAAAAGAAATGATGCATTTCAAATGCTATGAAGGACACTTAATATATAGTAGATTTACCAAAGAACAAGCAACTCAGTCTTAGAAGAAATACAAGCAGTGTGTTCCTTACAAGCAAGGATAATGAGACTTTGACTTGCTTACTCTGGTCACCTAATGAGGAAGGATCAATCAGTAGGAAAAAGATACCAGGGTGAGCAAATTAGGGCTAATAAATGATCAAAGCTCTGATTGAGATGAATTCACATATTAGCTGCAACAGTGAATTTAGATACCACCAACCATAAAGCTAGTATAAGATTGAGCAAAGTTCAGTCCTATTGTACATAGGTCACCATGTATCAGAAACTGGATGTCAAGTACCAACATATATACATACAGATACATAAATACACACACACATTTACATACATACATATATATATATATATATATATATATATATATATATATACACACACATTCACGTGTTTAAGTGTTTATCAAACAAAATAAAAATGACTCCATGCCATATTATAAACTTTGTCATTAACACTGTAACTAAGCCAATACAGAGTTAACATAATGTCAAGAAAACTGAGATTCAGAAAGATGGCCCATTATTTACACAAGCCTAATAATTTATGGTTAGTGATGTAAAATATCTAAAATTTCTTTTGTTTCTTTTATAATAGCCAAGCCAGATTTATATACATAGCTGCCTTAGACAAAGCGAAAACTGGGATTCATTCTCTTAAAAAATATTTTTTTTCTGTAATTATGCAATTATCAGCTTCTACCACAAATGGCTGAAAAGTAGGAAACAAACCTGCAGTTAGAGATCCACATGTATTCAACATTATTTGCTATCATTCTCATATATTCCTATTATGCATTTAATTGTATAATTTGTTTTTTTATGTCGTTTGTGAAATAATGTTACCTTACAGTGAACTCTTTGAAAGCCAAAAATACCACTAAATTCCTTAAACTGTTAATTTTCCAAAAGTGGAAATCTCCTAAATTAGTAATTTTCCAAAAGGCAAAATTAAATCCTAGCAGTAGGGAGTTGTGCTGCCATTTCAAAGGCATGAAGTTTTGAACCCACAAGCTGCTTCATGAAAGAAGGAACAGCAAACGTCTCCCATGAGATTTATTGCTGGCTTAGTGGCAAGAAGCCTCACTGCAATCCCAGAGATATGCGGTTCAAATCCACCAAATGCTCTGCTGGAGAAGGAGGGGCAATCTCCTCCTGGACCAAATCCTCCTGGATTTGACGGTACACATGCAAAATAATAAAATAAAGTAATATTTAAAAAAAAGAGAGAGATTTTCTGTTTCTGACAACCTATGGATAGTCAGTTTTGAGTCAGTTCTGACTACACAGTAAACCACCGCCACCACCACCACCACCAGCTACACACAATGTGCAAAACAGTTAATACACAAGACATTTAAAATTTTTACTTAAAAATGGAATGTTAATATTTTATGTTCAATACAAAAGTTGAATAATTCAAAATTTGCAAAATCTTAGGTTAACATTTCTAGTAGACTCATTACGGATGAATTTTAAAAGGAAAGTAAAAATGAGGAAATAGTTTACTAAGAATGCTTAAAATTGTTTATAAAACATACAACTAAATTTAGAGGTTTAATAATTTATGAAAATGTCAATTTTTAATCTGATATAGTTTCATTTAGGTTTTTTTAAATTTGAAAAATATGTTTCACTACTGGAAAAAATTCTACTCAAATTAAAACTATTCACAAAGTATTTTCCTAAGCTAAATCTTAGTAAAACAGCTGGTTTGGATCTGCCATTTTCTAGTTATAGTGCCAGGAAGCTTTGGTAGCCTAGTGCTAAGGAGCTGGGATGCCAGTTGGAGGTTGTGGTTTGAATCCAGCAGCTGTTTTGTGGGAAAAAGATGGGCAATCACCTTCCATGTGATTTACTGCCTCAGAAGACATGCTGGAAGATCAGATATGGGTTGGATCCAATTTGATGGCCCACAACAAGAGTTACAGAGTCAGAAGTTAACAGTCATTAGCTTACTGTACAGGACATGAACTATTTTTTAAAGTAGACATTAAAAGTTGTATTATTTCTCTTCTAATAAAACTCCAAGTAGATTCTTGAGTGGGAATGGGAGAGCGAAAGAAAATTTTAAAAAAACCCCACACTTCAAAAAGGAAATAATAAATCTTTATATTTATCATAGAATTTTCAGTGCAAACTGTTGAAATATTTACTATTTCTGTATCTGTAATTTTACATTTAGAAAAATAAAACCAAGAGTTCATTAAATATATTCTTTCCCATGGAAACATCTTCAATATGCAAATGTTTTAAAAAACGTATTTAATTTTTGTTGAAAAAATATATATAGCAAGACATTCAACAATTCCTACATATGTCATTTAGTGGCATTGATTCTCTTCTCCAGATTTAAAATTTTACGATCAGGGAAACCTATAGCAACTTCTTTCTTTTTATAAGACTAGCTTGTGCAAATGTTTATAGAAACTCAAATCTCATAGGAAAAGGAGCCCTAATGGTGCCACACTTGCTGCTAGCTCAAAGGTCAACAGTTATGAATCCATCAACTGTGCAAGAGGAAAGACCTGGTGATCTGCTCCTGTAAAGGTTTCTCATCTACAAAACCCTATGGAACAGTTCTACTCTGTCTTTGTAGGATCACTATGAGACAAAACTGACTCAATGGCATAGCACGCTCACAGAGATTAGGTCATCGAATTGAGATGTAATGTGTTTTCTCTAAATTTTGATTAAAAAGGTCTTTTTTAAAAAACATTTCTTAAATTTAGTACTTTGACATTTTGGTTGGGTCATTCTTTGTTGTCAGCAATATATTGTCCTGTACATTTTCACTTTTCTATTGAGAACAATGGATAAAGACTAGAAAACACAATATAATAAATAGGTTAAGATGTCACAGTTGCATGCCATTAATTATTTCTTAGTTAATATTTTATAGTGAATTATATAAATTACATGAAATAATTAGCAAATAATGAGCAAGTCTAAATAAAGAGATCATTTATGTAGCTTAATTAGAAACATTCTAAATACAGATTCAGGCTTAATGAACCTCTTAACTGATATTAACAGCACTGCTTTAAAATGCAACTTTAGTGTGTGTTCTATTACTATGAATAAATAAGAATATAATTTTTTTTTTCCAAACCAAGAATCTGTTGCTAAAAAGGATCCTAATAATATGTACTTCAACATTAAAAACAATGGTGGAAGACAAAGTCCAACAGAAGAAATCCAAATTATCCCAACATTATTCTTCTTTCCTCCTCTTTTTCTTCTCCTTTCTTTTCTGTTGTAAATTCTTCAGGTCAGTCATTACATTTAAAGTCTTTCGTACCCACATAATCTAAAAATAATCATATTGAGGCAAGTTTACAATGTTAAAAAATAAAGACTATTTATATATTTTTATAGAAAACCAAACAAGGCTATAATATACATACCACAATAATCATAGCATTGAACAACAGTGGCGTTGAAAATACTATAGAAATGAACATTCCTCTTGAATCAAAATATTGGTATTTTGAAAATAACCTGTTTTGGGAGGGGGAATAAAACAAAAATTTACTTTACATAACAGTGCAAGTATCTGTTATTTTTCTTTACTTAACATAAGCCTCTAGAGCCCTCATGCCAATTATGAGGGCCACTCTGAGTCAGAATTTGGCTGAACAAAAATAGGTTTGATTAATGTCGTCTGTCACTCATATCTTCTATTATCGTAATCCTTCTATTCTATTATCGTAATCTTAACATTCATTTTAAAGAAAACACTCATTCCCATTGTGTCAGAATTGACTCATAGAAAGCACTCGATTTCATTTCTAAGACTATAAATTGCAAGGAAGAGGACTGCCCATCTTTCTCCCATGAAGCTGCTGGCAGATCTGAACCCCTAAAGAGGTACTCCCTTTGGGTTGGCAGCTCCATTCCCTTTAGACTATGCCATCAGAGCTCCCAAGGTTCCACAATTAAGAAAGCCTGTTAGTACAGAAAGATGATGACAGAATAATAATAATTAACCTATTACTATTTTGTTTTAGGCAAAAGAACATTCGCTTCTGCAAGGCTAACAGAGAAGAATTTGACATTAATAGCAATATGCTATAATGTTTTAGGATTCTTAAACTTGGCTAGTACATAATGTAATAGTGACATTTACTATTTATCTCCTTTAAGATGGAACATTATGTCAGATACATCCATCTTATTTCTCATTTTATTAAAGAAGCCACAGTAGGTTAATTAAGCACCAGGCACTTAAAATGCAAGCAATTTTAAAACCCCAGCTACTCTGTATGGACTGTCCTATAAGGGCATTCACCAAAAGCCAGAAATTGGATGTCAATGGGCTTGGTTATTAGTAAAATGTTTCTTTTTTGAGAAGAAAGTGAAACTCAGAAGGATTAAATAATTTCAATTTGTCCAAAGGTGAAAAACAAATAAATAAATTAAAAAATCCAAAGAAATAAAACCTCACTGCCACTGTGTTAACTCACAGCAAACCTACAGAATGGAGTGGAACTATCCCATCAGGTTTCTGGGGCTGTGCATCATGAGAAGACCGCCTTATCTTTTCCACCAGGAACTGCTGATGGCTGCCAGTCAGTAGCTCAGACACCTTAAATGGCTGAACATTATCTGACTAAAAGTTCTTCTGCTTACAAGTATGAGCAAGTGAACAGCCGAAACAGGATTGTATTTGAGTGCTGAGTAGTAAGCATAATAACTATGCTAAGTAAGAGTTAACAGTATGTGCAGCAACTCATTAACTCAGTAACAAATAGTTATTGTATACTCCTAGGCACCATCAAAAGCTGGAAATACAGCATTTAAAAGTAAAACTTTTCAAAAAAATAAAGCTAAAAATTCCTGCCTACAATTTATATCTATTTTGGCTAACTAAGAAATTAAGAGAATCAACTGAAATATATATATATATAATCTACTTCATGGCAACTAAAACAATAACATGACAGAATTAATATTATAGAGAAAAATAACAACAGGGGAAGGAAATAGTACATACGAGCTTGGAGTGCTTTCTTTGAAAAGATTAAGCAAGGAAGACTTCATGCCACTTGAATAATCAATTGAACTCTAAGAGAGCGAGCCAAGAAGGTTTCAGAAATCCAGCAGTATGAAAATGTGGCAAAGACAGTGAGAAAGGGATGATAACAGAAAATGAGAGGGAGTATAAAGACCACAACTAGAAGGCTTGTGGTCATTAAAGCTTTTGCCTTTATTTAGAAAACAGGTAAACTCACCTGACAGTTCTAAAATAAGAGTGGAAGTAAGACTACTTAAAAGACTACTCATACCCCATGAGTAAGAAATGATCTCTCTTTTAGTACTACCTCTTCTGACTCTATCTTGAACTTCTGACAATGCTGCTGATGTACTTGTTCCAGTCATTTTTCAGCAATTCTCTGCACAATTTTACTTGCATGAGATATGAGTGGTATTGTTCAATAGTTTCCACTGCCTGCTGGATCACACACATGTTGGAAATGGGAATATGGATTTCTTCCAGTCAGTTGACCATGTAGCTATTATCCATATCTGCTGGCAGAGTCTAGTGAGAATAGCCAAGGTTGCATCTGTTTCCTGAAATATCTCAACTGCTATTCCATCAATTGCTGGGGTCTGATTTTTTTTTCCCTCTTACAATGCCTTCAGTGGAGCTTGGACTTCTTCCTTCAGTACTGTTGGTTCTTGAGCACAGGCTACTTCCTGAAATGGTTAGGTGTTGACTCTATGTACGGTGACTCTATGTATTCCTTTCATCTTCTTTTGATGCTTCCTTGACCATACAAGATTTGGCTCATAGAATCTTTCAGTGTGCAACTCAAGATGTGAATTTGTTCTCCAGTTATTCTAGCTTGAGAAATGCTGAGCCTATTCTTCCCTTTTGGTTTTCTAACTCAAGCTCCTCATATATTTCATTATAATATTTCGCTTTGTTTTCTTAAGCCGAACTATGACATCTTCTGTTCAGCTCTCTTCAGCATTCTCTCCTTTGTTTTGGCTTCTTTTTGTTCCTATACAAGTTTCAGAGTTTCTTCTGACATCCATTTCGGTCATTTCCCTGTCTTTGTAAGGACCTTTTGCTTTCTTCATGGATAATGTTCTTGATGTCATTCCACAATGTGTCTGGTCTTCATCCATTAGCTTTCAATGTGTCAAATATATTCTTAAGATGCTTATTAAATTCAGTTAAGATACATACAAGATTCTATTTTTGTTCTCATGAAGTTGTTCTAATTTTCTTCAACTTTAGTATGAACATGCATATAAGTAATTGGTGGTCTGTCCCATAGCCAGCCGCTGGTCTAGCTTTGACTTCTGATACTGTGTTTCTCCAATGTCTCTAATCACAAATGTGAATCAGTCTAATTTCTGTGTTATTCAACGAGGAAGACCAGGTATATAGTCATTATTTGAGTTTTAAAACAAACATTTACAATGAATAAATGCTATCATGTGATCTCTAGCTTCATTTCTGTCAGCAAGACCGTATTTCCCGGCCACCAAACCTACTTCGTTTCGAACATTTGCATTCCAGCGATCAATTATTACTAATGCATCTTCCCCCCACACACACTGTGAAACCCACTTCAGTGTCTGAAGCCTACAACCAAGGACACCAGGCAATGACTCGGGGTTATGGTTTGCTCTGGCATTGAACACTATGAAAAACTGATGGAAGGGCAAGCCATTATTAATGCATATTGATTACATGTTCAATCAAGTTCAGATAGTAAAAATTGATTGTTGTTGTTGTTAGGTGCCACTGAGTCGAATACAATTCATAATGACCCTATGAACAAAAGATTTGAACCTAGTCCTGTCCAGTGTCATTCTCACACTTCCTGACATACAAAAGCCCATTGCAGCAGTCACCTTGTCAATCCACTTGGTTGAGGCTCTTCCTCTCCTCCGCCAACCCTCCACCCTTGCCAATTATCATGTCCCTCTCCAAGGAATAGCACCTCCTAGCAATATATTCAAAGTATGTGAGGTGAAGCCTCATCATTGTTGCCTCCAAAGAGCACTCAGCTGCATCCTCTCCAAGACATATCTTTTCTTGGCCATCTGCAGGATGGTTAGTGCTCTTCTCCAACACCACAGCTCAAAGGCATCAATTATCTTTCTGTCATCCTTATTCATTGTCCAGGTCTTGATGTATAGCTAGTAATAGGAAAGATCATGGCCTGAATCAGACGCACCCTAGTCCTCAAAATGACATCACTATTCCTCAATAATTTGAAAAGTTCCCGAACTGCAGATTTTCCCAGTGCAATGTGTTTCCTAATTTCCTGACTGCTACTACCAAGGATGTTAACTGTGGATCCAAAAAAGAAGAAGCTGTTGACAGTTTCACTCTCCTCTCCACCCACCATGATACTTCCTACTGATCTGGTGGTAAGAATTTTTGTTTTCTTGGTATTGAAATGGAATCCATACCGAAGGCTGCATTCCTTGATCTTGTGCAACAGGTGCTTCAAGTCCTCCTCACTTTCAGCTAGCAAGGTTATGTCATCTGCATAATGCATGTTATTGATAAATCTTTCTCCAATCCTGATGCCACATTTCTCTTAATAGAGTCCAGTTTTTAAGATAATTTGCTTAGCACATAGATTGAACAGGTAGGGAAACAGAATACATCTCTGATGCATATCCTTCCCTATTCCAAACAGCTTCCTGCTCCAAGTATAGATTCCTCATGAACACAATCAAGTGTTATGGGGTTCCCATTCATCTCAGTATCAGCCACAACTTGTCATGATCCACACAGTCAAACACCTCTGCAAAGTCAATAAAGCCCAAATAGACATTCTTTTGCTATTTCCTTACTTTCAGCCAGTATCCATCTGACATCAGCAATATCCTTGGTGCCACAGGCTCTTCTAAATCCCACCTGAATGTCTGGAAATTCCCTATCTATACACAGTTCCACCTGTTTTGAATGCTCTTCAGCAGTATTTTGCTTGTATGTGGTATCAATAATATTGTTTGATAACGTCCACATTGAGTTAGACCACCCTTCTTAGTAATAGTAACAAATATGGACCTCTTCCAATCTGTTGGCCAGACAGATATCCTCTAAAAATTGATAGAAATCCTTAATTTCTTCGTTTTTGGTTTTTCTTGGCTGGTGTGTCTCAATAGGACTTCCTTGTACACAAATGAATAATATGCTACCACTCACAGTAATATATTTCAGGATATATCTTAAAATGCTTTTCTGATGACAAATGCTACACTAATCCTCTTCGTCATTTATTGCATAGTAGATCATGTGCCTCTCTGATTCAAAATGGCCAATACCAGTCCATCTCACCTCACTTACGCCTAGGATATAGATCTTCCTATGTTCCATTTCAATCTTGACAATTTTTAAGTTCCTAGAATCATACCTTATACATTCCATATTTCAATTATTAATGGATGTTTGCAGCTGTTTCCCCACATTTTTAATCTTGCTACATCAACAAATGAAGATCCTTCACTTGGTGAAATCTTTACTCCAAAACCATCATTACAATGGATTCTACTTTGAAGAGGCAGTTCCTCCTCAGTCATATTTTCAGTAAGTGCCTTCCAACATGAGGGGCTCATCTTCTAACACTATATCCACACTGGGAGCTCTGGTGGCCTTGTGACAAGGAGCTGCATTGTAATCACGAATGCACACAGCTTGAGGCCACCAGCTGCTCCTCAGGAGTAGGATGGTCAATCTCCTTCTGTGTGATTAACGACCTCTGAAAACCTGCTGGAAGGGGCAGCTATGGGCCAGGTCTGACTCTATGGTACACAGCAACAAAATAGAGTATGTAATAGCCTATGATTTCCGAAGGGAATGGCCAGTCCTACTTCTTCATCTATCTTCATCTGGAATCTCCGCTGAAACCCTTCTACCACAGGTAACCTGCTGGTATTTGAGATACCAGTGGCATAGCTTCTAATATCATGGCAACCCATAAGTCACCACAATACAGCAATCTGATATACAAGTGGCCTCAGAAAAGGCCATGGAAGTAGATTTACCATTGCTGATGGCAGATGGGAGTTTAGCTGAAAACAAAGAATAACAAAAAAATGTTTGCTTGTATTTTGTCGATTATGCAAGGGCATTTAATATCAGGTATCATGACAAATTATGGCTAACATTGAGAAGAATGGGAATACCAGAACACTTAATTGTGCTCAGGTGAAGCTATACCCAGACCAAGAATCTGTTATCTAAACAAAATAAGAGAACACTATCTGGTTAAAATAAAGGTGTGTATGAAGGCTGTATGACTTTTTTACATAGACTTAAGCTGCATGCTGAGCAAACAATTTGAGAAGACGGATAACATGAAGAAAAATGTGACTTCCCGCTTGATGGAACCACCTACATTATGCAGATATCACAATCTTACTTTTAAAAGTGAAGAAGACTTGAAGCACTTACTGCAGAAGATCAAGGACTTCAGCTTTCAATGTTACATCTCAACATCAAGAAAACTAAACTCCTCACCACTGGATCAAAACAGAACATTGTAACAGATGGAAAAGACTGAAGTTGTCAATGATTTCATTTTACTTGAATCCACAGTCAATATTCTTAGTAGCAGCAATCAAGAAATCAAAAGACTTGCAATACTGGGCAGATCAACTGTCAAGGACCTACCTGAAGTTCTAAAGAGCAAGGATATCAGTTTAAAAACCAAGTCATGCCTGATCCAAGCCAAAGTACTTTCAATTGTTTCCTATGGATGCCTACGAGTTGTGGTGCTGGTGAATACAGAACTATACCATGAACTGCCAAAGAACAAACAAGTTTTTTGAAAGGAAGTGTAAGCTGAGTGTTTTTAGGGACAAGATAGCATAACTTCACCTCACTTATAGGTGCATACTTTTAGGAGGAACCAGTCTTCAGTGGGAGACATCATGAAGGGAGAAGTAGAGGGTTATGGGAGAAAGGAATACTCTAAATGAGATGGACAGACATAGAGACGATCACTATGGGCTTGGGCTTGTGGATGGTGCAGGACAGGGCAAGGTTCAGATCTGTAGTTCATAGGGTTACTATGAATTTTAGTTGACTCAAAGGCATTTAACCACTACCACCAAAATCCTGAGAAAATTCTATTAACATAATGAAGAATTTTAGAGAGAAAATTCTTTATAAAGCAAATCACTTTCCATTATCCATATTGGTTGAGTGTTCTCAATGTGTTCCTTTTTCTTATTATTTATTTAAAATTATTTCAACAGTTCATTAAATTCTCACATGCTACTAGCTGTATTAATGAATATATAACAGCTGAAGTTATCCAATCAAGAAATCTTTCAAAAAATATTTAACAAGTTGTTTCTCTAAGCTAAAACCTTATATTAAAGCAAAGATATTTAAATTAGTTTCATGTTTCTTTTGTTCCCTCTTTCAGTTCTATCTCCTATGTGGAATATTTCTTTGTTAGTCAGAAGACAGCTCCTAAAACAGAGTCAAGTTAAAAGAAAATTTACTTACCTCCAGTTCATTGCAGCTATTTCATTAATATATTCTGCACAATACACTAAAATAACTGGGGAAAAAAAAGAAGACATGGTTAGAATTTAAATGGCTACAAAATACTTTGGAATATAATTATTTCTAACTAGATATTTAAAATAAGAGAATAACAAAAATATAATGAAAAGTACAATTTATATTTAGATATAAAAATCATTAATACAGGACACATACATTTAACAGAAAAGAAAATCAAAGTCATAAGTGAAAAGTTTGATGATGCTGGGTTTTTAAACAATAAGACTTTCAATGAGCTTTACTTGCCTGATTTCATTGAATCCTCAATTTAAATAAGAATTATTTGTATGTCCATTACTAAGTGCATGGGTTCACTGTGAGTCTGGCTCAACTCAGCACTTAACAACAAAAAGATATGTAAACTCTCATTACTTTACCCCTATAATTCCAAAATACTCAGCTTTCACGCCTTGCACCAAGCCAGCTGGCTAATCACGTTTAAATTTTTTTTAAAAAAAATGATGGTGCTTTATGTTAAATTGTTATTGTTGAAGTGCCATTGAGTTGTAGGCAACTCATAGTGACACTATAACGAAATTCCTCAACACTTGGGTGACTTTCATCCTTTCCCCAGGTTCATAGAGTTTCCAGAGACAAGCTATTTCAGAAGTGGATGCCGCTCTTGCTTCCAAGCTTGTTTTAATCACGGAGCTCCACCAAACACTGTCCACCACGGGTAACCATTATCGCATTTGATACATCAGTGTCATTACCCTGTAAAAATCTTTTAATTATTCTCCAATACCTACAAAATTGAAATAATTCCCAATCTAATTCTTTTAGGCTCTATTCCATACTTTCTACTCACAGAAGTATATTTCTAAATAGCATAAGAAATGCTTAGCTTCTCCGGGGTTGGAGGTTTCTCTAACATGTGGTCCTTGCTTTATGTTTACCTGCCCTTCTGTCTATTTACTGCCCTCATTTTGAGTGCTTTCTCAGTATCTTTTATTCTCAGGCTAGGTATCTGTTCTTCTATCATTTTTTATTAAAATATCATTCAGTTTTATAACCTAAAACTTGGTTTTCTCCATGTAGCCTTTTGCAGTGGGGCGTACGTGGCTCAGCGATAGAACTGAGTCTCTCGTGAGAGATTCAGATTTGATTCCTGCCCAAGGCACCACATTGCTTCCCCATCCATGGATCAATAGAAGTGTGCACATTAGTATGATGCTGAAAACTATCCTGCAGAGGTCCAAACTAAAGTGGACGAAGAAGGGGCCCTAGTGATCTACTTCCAAATATCTGCCAGTAACATCTCTATGGATCACATGGCCCACCACAATCGAACACGGTGCAAAAGCAGGCAGTTTCTTTCCATTGTGCACAGGCATAAGCTGAAAGCTGACTTAATAGCAGTAAACAGTAACTGCAACATTCTTTCTCAATTTCTCCACACAACAGATGTCCTTTCCTAAGTTCCATAGGCCTTTTTAAAAAGGCAGCCCTAGAGGTCTAGAGGTAAGGAGTTACAATGCCAACCCAAAGGCACGTGGTTCAAATCCAACAGCTGCTGCACAAGAGAAAGATGGGCATTCTTCTTGCATGCAATTTAGAACCTCTGGAAACTTAATGGAGACTGAGCCACTGGTTCCAACTCATTAGCACACAGCAACACAATAATAACTGGTGGTAGAGTTCATAGATTGAGTTCTGTAAACCCAAATCGAGCTCTGGTTATATAGCTAGTAGGAAACTATGCTGCAAAATCAAAGGTCAAGCCTCTCTTGTCATTAGTATCCACTAGCAGGTCTGCTGAAGAATGATGGGTAATCTCCTTCTGTAGGATTTACAGCCTCAGGAGTCTGCTGAAGGGTCAGCTCTTAATGCTGTTTTGATTTGAGTTTGGAGCTATCATTAAAACTAATTTAGGCAGTGTTTTAAATTATTTTGTCTATAGAATTTTCCACTTTAATTTGCTTTCTACATTCCAAAATAAGTAGCAGAATACAAAGTATATAGAGAAAAATATATTAAAAAAAAAAGACACCCATAATTTCGTTAAACTCATAATAGGATATTTAACATGACAAATGTTTAAGAGGTATCTCATACTATGTTTACAGTTCCCAAGATTAAAGTCTGTAATTCCTCAGAAGTGTTGTAAAAATAAGTCAACATGTGATAAAAAAATATTTAAATATTTTCAAGATACAAGTAGAACATAAAAACAAATATTAGTACAAGCAATTTTAGTAAAAGGTTTTTTAGTTAAAAAAAAAAGTCAGAAATAATGTTTTAATTCTACTCACCTAAGCATAAGAAATGCCCAATCTGTAGTTTATATTTTTGGGTTGAGAAACAGGTGAGGAGCAGGCAGAGGATATGGAACACAATGAGCCCTATTAGCCATGGTTCAGTCCAGTCTGTCTGCTGTAAGTACAGAACATCAGAAAGTCATAATGTGTGAATGCAGAGGGCCACAGGTTCAAGGTCTTGAGCAGTGTTGCTATAGGACCACTGACCCCAGATTAGACTTGAAAATGCCACAAAGCACTGTTCTACTCAAACACACATGAGTTCTCCATGGGTCAAAATCTACTCTATGGAAACTGGCTCTGATTGCCACTGAGTCACAAACAAACACAGGATAAGGGGAAGGGAGGAGAAAAATCAGAGCAGAAATAGGAATCCATTCTGTATCATAAGCATAATTAATACAATGTTTAAAAGCTATACCACTGGTTTAATCTTCATAGGGAGCTCTCATGGACTAGTGGTAAGGACTTGTGCTGCCAACCTGAGGGAATGCAATTAAAATTCATCAGCTGCTCCATGGAAGAAAGATGGACATCTCCTCCCTTGTAATTTACTGTCTCTGAAAAACTCCTGGAGGGTGAGCTATGAGTCAAATGTGAATCATGTCATTCCCAGGACTCTTATTTACTAAACACTTTCTAAGCTGGACTGCATCAAAAGATGACAACAAATTCTGTGACATAGATTGGATGTTAATATACTTGGTTAAATAAAACTCAAGGTGATATACTTGATTAATCCCAAAATTAAAACTAAAAATCCCATTACAAAATCTATAGACATTGGAAAACTTTCTAGTTAAGAACGTTTGCAGAGTGTTAAAGAGCAATGATGTCAGTTTAAAGACGAAGACGCACCGGTTCAAGGCCATAGTATTCTCAATTTCTTGCCATACATTTGAAAGCCAGATAATGACTAAAGATGACAGAAGCAGCAGTGATGCCTTTGAACTGCAGTGCTGGAAAAGAATACTGAACATTCCATGGACTGCCAAGAGAACAAACAGGTCTGTCCTAGAAAGGGTGAAGCCAAGTTGCTCATTGTAGTTAAGGATTCTGAAACTCTGCCTCACATACTTTGGACTTACTGTCAGGAGGGGCCAGTTCTTGGAGAAGGACATCATGCTTGGAAGGGCAGAATACCAAGAGATGAAGACCCTCCACGAGATAGACTAACAGTGTTCAATGTAGTCAGGTGTGTCAGAGACAAGATAAGACAAAGTTCATAGTTGTTGTTCATAAGGTTGTTATGAGTCGTAGTTGACTCAAAGAACAACCACCTAACAGTAAGGATCTTGGAAAATCTGACCCAATCATAATACATACATGAAATCTGATTTTCTCCAAAACCATTCTGCCATACATTCACTACTCCAAATAGTGAACCTGTCTCTTTGTATGAAGTTTTTGCTATACCTGAAAGTTCCCCCATCTCCCTAAATACTACTTACCTTCCTCCCTTCCACATGATCTGTCCCCACCATATACCCCAGTAAAACCAGAAGCGCCTTTCTGAAGCCCACTGACAATTCTCCTGCGGATTAGCTTTCTAAATTCTTTCCGTGAATGCCCCCACCTAGTGGTAAGAAGCTGAGCTGCAATCTAAAGGCATGTGGTTTGAATTGACCAGCCTCACTGTGGCAGAAAGATCAGCTATCCCATTCCTTGCGTTTTACCGCCTCTGAAAATCCCCTGGAGGGTCAGCTATGAGTGAGTCAGTTTCAACTCGACTGCACACAACAAGAACCACCCACAGGATGAGACAAAAAACAGATATTCAAGAAACTGGGTGGTATACAGTAATCCAGTAAGTTTCTCTCTAAATGCCCACGGAATGAAAAGTAGAAAAGTGTAGGGAAAACTGGTTTTTATACGCGTCCCCCCCACCACGGAGCAGCAATAATATGTTCCCACCGCCGCGCGCGGGGGTCCCAGCGCGCCCCGCAGCCAGGGATCCGCCCGGCGGCCTTGCCTGTGCAGCCTGCAGATGCAGCTCCAGGGACCTGAAGGCGAGGGGCCAGCCGAAATCGCACTACTCAACCGCCTACCGCCCCTAGACCTGAGGCCAGTGAGTGCAGCAAGTTACCTTGAGCACCGAGGAAACGCTGATCGGGAACTCGGTGACTGAGAAGGCGGACGGCATCTTCCCGGGACAAGTTCCGCCCCTTCACTAACCGCCACTCAGGAAGGTGTCCCCGCCTCCGGGAATCCCCACTAGCGGAGCGTCAGCTCTCGCCTTCTCGCGAGACTGCAGCTGCTTGGTTAGTACTTGACCATACAGTGTACAGTAAGGACAGAACAAACTCTGGAATTCAATACCTAATTTCTCAGACCTATATTTTTTCAGCTATGGGTCTATTCGAAAATGACAGTACACAATGACAACAATCTTTTGGTTTGGAAGACGAGAATATTTTTTATCTGCTGTATTGGTCAGAGAATTAGGAGCAGGGTGGAGGCTGTTTCTCCTGTTGGGACATCCCACATTGAGCAAATTATCAAGAGGGACCGGTACATGGGAAAGGACGTCATGCTAGGAAAAGTAGTGGAGTAGATAACAAGAAGCTATTCCACTACTTGGAATACCCTGAGAAAATGAGAACTGAGGCACAAACTGATATTTGTACACCAATGTTCATAGCACCATTATTAACCATCGCAAGAACATGGAAACAGCCCAAATGTCCAACCACAACGAATGGATTGAGAAATTATGGTACATAATTACAAGCATGACAGTGGAATATTATGCAGCATGCAGGAGCAATGATTTTGTAAATTATTACCTAACTTGGGAGGGACTGGAGAGCATTGTGCTGAGTGAAACAACTCAGTCCCACAAGGACAAATATTGTATAAAATTATTATTGTAGAATGAGTAGGATCAAAGAGGGGTGGGAGAGGTTGGAAGCAGAGGGATAAGGATGTGTTGGGGGAGGGAGGATTTAGTCATGTGGTTGTACAATTTATTGGGTGGGACAATGAAGGAGATTGAAAGAATTTGTCCTTGAAAACAGTGTATTTGAATATTGTAAATAAAATAGTAGAAAATTTTAAAAAGAAAAAAAGATCCTTTAGGAAATGAATTGGCTCAGGATCAGGCAGGGAGGTTTTATGGGAACTCTCCCCTGGGACTTAATTGCCTCTGAAAACCCACTGCAGAATCAGCTGTGCATTCTTTCTAACTCCATGAAACACAGCAACAGTACGTCACTATGAGTCTTAGCCAACTGTTGTGCGATCAAGTAGGAACCAGTTCATATCTGTTTTTTTCAGAGGTGGTAAATCACATAGGTGAGTGCCATTTCCTGTCATGTAGCAGCTGGTGGATGTGAACCAGTTGCCTTTGGATCGGCAGCAGAATTCCTTACCCACTAGGCTGCCAAACTCTCTTAGATGACTACTGGTCACCTAATAACAAAAAATAAGGGGCTGTAGCATCGCACATTTTTTTTTTCCTGAAAGTATATATTGCCAGCTCTTTTCACATCAAAATACATCCATTTCCATCCTCTGTAGTATTTTTTATTGAACTGGTATGAATCAAAACTACCTGGACCTGGGAATGAGTTTGGGTAGTAATTGTTGATGTTATGTGCCTTTATGTCAGTTACAACACATAGTGACCCTATAAACAATATCTCTGAACCCTGCCCTTCCTTGAGCCAGTCTCACTATCTCTGACACACCTACTCCTATTTCCATAGTCATTGTGCCAATCCATCTCATCTAGGGGTCACTCTTACAAGCATGATGCACTTCTCCAAGGATTGGTCCCTCCTGGCAACATGCTCAAAGTATGAAAGATGGATTTTCTAAATCATTGCCTCCAAAGAGCAACCTGGTTTCACCCTCTCGAGGACAGACCTATTTATTTTCTTGGCAGTTTATGATTATGTTCAATACTCTTCTCCAGCACCACAACTCAAAGTCTTCCATTCTTCTTCTGTCATCTTTGTGCAGCTCACAGATGCATAGCAAGTAATTGAGAAGACCATGGCTTGGATAAGGCACACCTTAGTCTCTAGACTGACATTGTTCTCCTTAGCACTCTGGAGAGGTCACTGAAAACAGACTTTCCCAAAACAACTTGTCCTTTGATTTCTTGACTGCTGGCACCAGAAGTGTTGATTGTGGACTCAAGCAAGAGGAAATTCCCAACAACCTTATTCTCTTCTCCATCTATCAAGATGCTGCAAACTGGCCTAGTGGTGAAAAATCTTTGTTTTTCCTGATGTTGAGCTTCAATTCATATTAAAAATTTAAATCTCCAATCTTCTGGAGCAAAGACTTCAAGTCCTTATTCCCAGCTTTTGCATTTCAGTTACCAATTATTACTATCTTGGTTGCATATTCGACTGAGTTCAGACTACAAAAATTGGACCTTTGTTGTAGTTACTATGTCAGTCTATCTTGTTTTGGGTGGTCTTCTTTTTCTCTGTCTCTACCTTTTCCAGCATGCCCAAAGTATGTGAGTCAAAGTCTCATCAGCCTTTCTTCTAAGCAGCACTCTGGCTGTAATTTCTCTATTTGTTCTTTTGGCAGTCCATGAGATATTAAGTACTTTTCTTCAACACAACATCTGAATCTGGATATTGTAGCTAATGCAGCAGACACAAGGAGAAAAGATGTTTGTATAGGTAATTACTAATAAATATAGAAAGACCCTAAACCAGATGGACTGACATGATGATTGGAACAAAAGGCTTGAGCATATCAGAGATCATGAGGATGGCACAGGATAGCATTAAGGTAAAATCTGTTATTTATAAGGTCTGGAAGCAGGAATGGATCCCCTTCCTAAACAACATGTCTCTGGAAACCCTGTGACCTTTGAGAAACAATGATAGTTATAGAAAGGCTTTAGGTCTTTAGTTCATAGGGTCACTATGAATTGTGCTCGGCTCAACAGTAATCAACAACAACAACATTTATAAGGTTGCCCTTAGTCTTTGTCATCGCAGTGGCACCTAAAAACTACAACAAACAGCCTTTTCCCCAGTGTAGTGTATGTGCTTTAGGGTTGTGCTTCCTAAATAATAATATAAAATGTGCACACATGAGGAGAATATTATTGAATTGATATATTCGAGGTCTGGTAGCCTAGTGCTAAAGAGTTATACTGCCAACCTGAATGCACATGTTCCCACCGACCACACTCCCCCTCTCTCTGCAGAAACATCTTTGTTCTCCCAGAACTCACAGACACTGAGATTACCCACCACTACTCCTCATTCACCAGAAAGGGCGATGAGGATGAGGCCTGACAGAGTCAGTTTTCTCTGCTTGTTGCTCCAGCAAGGTGACTATGTTCAGAAGCCCTCAATTTGGGTGACATTAGTCATTTGTGTGTGTGTGTGTGTGCGTAGGTCCTGTAGTAGTCATAGCTACGTAACTTCTGTTATGAGAAGACATTGACAAATGAGTTTTTTGTTTGTTTTCTTTTCCCCTCAGTCTGTCGGATTCCTTTTCATCTTCTTGGAAAAAGTTTTTGATGCACACGAGGACTTAATTTTTATAAATCCCCATTCATTGATTTTATCATCTCATGATTGTTAATTTCTGGCTATATATGCAAACCTATTTATGTCTTAGGCTAAGGCTTTCTGAGTTTGGTCCCATTTTTGTCACATATGATCTTATTTGTTTTGGGCTTTACTCCTAAGTCTTTGATGCGCCCTGAGTGGATTTCTTGTGTATCGTGTCAAACGCGGATTCTGTTTCCGTTTTCAGCAGGTTGATGTTCAATGTTGATGTTCAGTTTTGCTAGCATCATTTATTGAAGAGGTTATAATTTGATAGGTTTTTATTCCTTGTTAAATATCAATTGACCTTAGGTAGATGGATTAATTTCTTAGTTCTAGGTTCTGTACCACTGGTCTTTATGTTTGTCATTATATCAATATCATAATTTTTCAGAAGATCTTTGCTTATTTGAGGTCTACTCTGTTTGAAATTTGCTGAGTTTCTTGAATGTGGATTTCCTCATTTTTCCTGATACTTAAGAAGTTTTATTCTAATACCTCTTCCACAATTTTCTCAGTGCTTTCCCACCCTCCTCACTTTCTGTTCTGGAAATCCAATCGTACCTCTTTTATTCTTTTTGATGCTATATCACATCATTTTAATGTTTTTTTTGCCTTTTTCTTCTTTGTTTTTTGGTTTTTATTACTCTGGAGATGAAAAAGTGAGGAAAAATGGAGTTGCTTTCATAGTTAAAAAAGCCATTGCCAAATCTATCTTGAAGTACAATATTGTCAGTGACAGGATAATATCTATATGCATACAAGGAAGTCCAGTGAATACCACTATCATTCA